AGGAATAATTGATTGATCAAACAACATTGAAAAAGAAGCATCTAAACACTGACTCGGTTTTGACAAAATACACAACAAACGAAAGAAAATGTGGAGATAAGGCATGGTTGGCCAGGCTTTATTGCAGCTTGAATTGACAGCACGGAGCACCGACAAGCCAATGTTTGGAAATCTGCAGAATTGATCTTGATTGCGTCATTGGATAAATTAATAACATAATTTGCGACCACGGTCTCCCGACACATTTCCAAGGTTAAGTTTTTTTTTTTTTTTTTTTTTTTTATCGAGTTCAATTATTATTACTATTACTGTATCTCAAGGTTCGCCTGGTTTCCTGTGTATTATTATTATTATTATTATTATTTATTTTTATTAATAATAAATTTTTATAATAACTAAATCTCGAGCTACACCCTATGTAGTATGTCTGTATTTTTTAAAAATTTATTTTTTATCTCAATTTATTATTAAATTTTATTTTTTATTTTTTTTTATTTTAACATACTTTTATTAAAAAAATTTATGTCAAAATATAAAAAACACAACTTCTTAACGTTATTTTTCTAATATTTTTTTAATTTTCTTTATTCCACTCCTACCATTATTTTTCTTAGAACTCTATTTTTTAGCCTCTCTTATTTCTTGCATCTCAATCTGTCATGCTATATCTTCATTTTTACCATTTTTTTTTCTATTTTCACACATTTTTATTAGAAAAGTTTTAGCTCAGGACAAAAAAAGATACAACCTCTTCATATTATTCTCCTAGTATTGTTTTTAATTACCTTTTACTCTATTTCTTCGATTATTTTTCTTGTGAGTCCATCTATCAACTTCTAACTTATCAATTTATCATTATAATCATTTCTCTACCATACATTCACCGTATCTCTTTCCCTCTCTGGATTAATAATTTATTTATTATTATTCTTTCATCTCCTTTATCTTTCTTTCAATCTTATTTTCGCTTAGTTACTCTCGGCGTCTCCATTTATCATTTTATTTTTGCTTAGTTAGTCTTTTTGTTTTTTGTTTTTTTATACAAATTAATTAAAAAGAGTTGTAATAAATATAAGAGTTGTATGTAAGTAAATTCTAACTCAACTTTAAAATAATCAAATAATTCTTCTATAAATTTATTTTTTTACATTATTTTGCACTACTATTATTTTTTTAACTATTTTATTTTTATTCTCTCATTTTATCTTCACAAATCCAACTCTATA